CAGCGCAGCGGCGGCAGGGGGAACGGAAGCGCCTGTAGCCGCTACAGCCGGGAAGGCAGCAGAGGGGAAGAGGGCGCGGTGGTGGGAGCAGAAGGCGGCAGCAGATGGGGCAGAGGCGGCTGTAGCGGCTACAGCCGGGTGAAAGGCTGGGTGGCGCGAGCAGAAGGCGGCAGGGCGGCAGCAGGCCGTGGCTGAAGCAGAAGCTGTAGTAGTAGCAGATGTGACTGTAGAGGCGAGCGCGCGGGATGTGATTGAAACGGTAGGAGAGGATGAGAGGGGAGGAGGAGGTGGGGCGTGCGAGGAAGCAGTTGCTGTTTGCGCCTGCAGCCGCGTCTGATGGGGAGGTAAGGGGGAATGGTGCCAGGCGGGAAGGCAGACGGGCGAGGGGAGTGCGGGGAGGGTGAGGAGGGGGTTTGAGGGGGGTTGAGGGGGGGAAGAGGGAGGGGAAACGAAGGGGAAAACATGGGAATTGGCGATGACAACAGAGAAGAATACCATTCGTTACAAGGCTGTGAAAAAAAGAAAACAAGCATTACCAGGAACGACCGCCTTACCTTGACAACGTCCAGTGGGTTAAAAACGGTCGGCACGAAGCGTCCAATCGTCACCAGAAAGTGACAGCTGCGCAACAGCAGCCCCCCTACCCTCCTTATCCGTACCTTGACGACGTCCAGCGGGTTTGCGATCACGGCCGATACCGGAAAAATCCGGAGCTTCACTCTCGTTATTGAATGTCCCAATACCTGTAACAGCATCCGTACCTTGACGGCGTCCAGCGGATTCATGATAACGGCCGATACCAAAACACCCTCGTTACTACATGCCCCGATACAAGTAATGGCCTCCCTACCTTAACAACGTCCAGCGGGTTCATGATAACGGCCGACAAGACGGCTGCTGCGCCCGCCGCCAGCGCCTTCTCCCGCAACCCTAGATCGCCCTCGGGCTTCCTTGCACTCCCTGCGCTCCTCGCACTTCTCCCATCGCTGCTGCTGCTTGCCCCCGTGCCAACTCCGCCACTGGAAACCGGTAGTAGTGCGCCTGCCGCGGCCGGCAAGTGTACCGCCGAGGCGTTAGGGTTTGACCTAATGGCGTCAGCACCCAGGGCACCGGCACCGGTAGCAGCAGTGCCAGAATTTATGCAGGCGGATCCGGGCACTGGCAGCGGCAATCCCCGTGCAGCAGTGACGTCGTCGCTCCGTGCGACGTCGCACGCACAGCCTGCGACGTCGCCAGCCCTGCCTTCGCGTTCCGCCCCCTGCGAGGCCACAGGCGAGTTTGATTGAAAAATCGCGGGCAGATGATTGGTTGCTAGCTGCAGCTGACGTGGAGGCGGTGGAGAGAAGGAAGCTGCGGGAGTGGCGGCGGAACTGGCGGCGACGGTGGCGGGTCGGGGTCATGGTGGTAGACTGCTGGCAGCCTGAAATGTTGAAACCGGGAAACCTTGTTACCAAGAAAGCGAAGGAGAGCGTAATTCGAAACTGGGAATCGTTAATTTGGTTCCGTAGAAGAGAGAGAGCGTTCAAAGACGCGATCAGATGCTAGAATCTGCCAGTGCTGGCGGCCGCTTAGAGTACCCGCTCTCTGTCGCTGGGTGGACTAATCAGGGGATCGTAGCAATTCTACAGGCCCAAGAAATGCAACACGCAGCAGGCGAGAGGCGGAGTGACGGCTGATCCGCAGCGTGCGGTGTGGAAGGCACGGCACGTTACCCACCTAGTCCCTCTAACCACCCAATCAGCTTCTTCCAGAATGGTTCTAGGGACTAGATGGCAGAGAGCGTGCCATATGGCGGGAGTTGGCATGGCAGGGTAGAGTGCAAGACTTCCGCTCCGCCTCTTAGGAACCTCCCCTCCAACTTGGTGACCCAGCTACTGCTCGGGCGAATTTTATGGAGCTCGCGAGACACAACGAACAGCGAATCTGCTCGCCACGACGGAAAATGGCCCGGCGCTGCGAAGTTCTAAATAAATGAATTACGTTCGCGAGTAGCTGGGCTCGGCTCGCCAACCGCGTGGGGCAGTGGTCCCACGGGCGAGGAGGGCACGTGGCAGGCATGACGTGGGCGAGAGGAGAGTTGAGCCGTGCACTCATCTGACGCAAGCGTCACGTTTCTTCCAGAACACGCTGCTGGAATTGCGGAAGGTGGGCCAAAACGGCGCACTTGCCGAATAACATTGGCGCGTACAGTTAACACAATAGACGGGAAACATACATAAACACATGAGGAAATAAGGTTCAAAACATATAATGTAAGAATCGAAAATCAGTGTGCCGCTACTGTATCGAACTGGAAACGCTTCAATAACAGCTCCCCCATCCCAAGATGTTTGGAAATACCACCATGCGCGCGGCAGCCGCCATAGATCTTCCCTCCCCTTGTCGCCATTGCTTCGTCTGACCTGAGATTCTTCCCTCCCTTCCTGTTCCACCTTTACGTGCTGCTGGTGTCTGGATACTGTACAGTACATTATTCTCGCCGACCTGTTCCGCCATTGCTTTGGCCGCTGCATCTCCGTTTCCGTATCTCCATAACTCGATCTCTCACCATAAGCGTAAAAAACAAATATTTTTATCCTCGTAAACCGTTTTGCGCCGCACGAATGGAGACGTCTAGGTGCACTGTACCATTCGAGTCGCTTCACCGTCGCCTCGCATCGCCCGCGATCGCGCTCCTCTCCCTCCTCGCGCTCCTCGCGTTGATCCGCGTCTCCTCGGCCTCCGACGTCCGCCCGTACCGCGTGCGCGCCCTGACCGACGCGTCGTTCGAGCACGACACGCAAGCGTCCTCTGGACAGACTACGGGGAGATGGTGAGTTACGTGGTAACCACATCTAGTGGCGAGTTACTTGGTAATCACCATGGCGAACGACGTCGCATTCACTGGAAGAATCTCGAATGCCCCCTGGGCGATCTTCTTTCCCCTCGTTTCAACCTCCAACTCCCCAACGCCCTCTCGCTTTCCCTCCTTCCTGCCCGTTCGTTCGGGGTGTCACCCTAGGTTAGTTCTGTGCGCCACGTCAGACTGCCTCACATCTGCTGACTCTTCGACTCCCCCTTTTGCGGCTCTCCCCCGCCCTTTCCCCTTCCGGCGCCCCTCACCCACCCTCCCCCCCCTCCTGCCGCGTGTCACCCCAGGTTCGTTCTGTTCGCCACGTCAGACTGCCTCACGTCTGCTGACTCGGAGTCGCCGTGCCACCGCATCCTCGCGTCGCTAAAGGAGGCTGCCTCCGCCGCAGACGGCATGCCTGGCCGGCTGTTCATCGCCGCGCAGGTGCGCTTTTAGACACCTCAAGAGTTCTGAAGCCTGAGGCGCGTCAAACCTCGAACCTTCTAAGGTTTGAGGCGCCACTCAACACTCAACCGGCATGCCTGGCCGGCTGTTCATCGCCGCAGGTGGGGGAAACTTTGAATGAGAAGAGAGTGCGAGAGAGACAGAGAGGGCGTGGGTGGGAGGGAGGTTAGGGGGGGGTTGTGGAGAGAGCGGGTTGTGAAGAGAGGGGTTTGTCAAGAACCTTGACACAAGATACACGCGTGCCACGTTTTCCTTCCAAGCGCATCCCTTTCCCTTCTCACCCTTTCCCTACTCACCCTTTCCTCCATTGTTCTCCCTTTTCCTCCCTCTCCCTGTCTAACCGACCAGGTGGATTTGGACGCCAACCCGAAGCTGAAGAAGAGGTTCGGCATCGGCTCCGAGCCTGTCCTCAAGCTCTTCCGCGACCGAGCCATGTTCTCCTTCCCCCAGGGCCGTTCTCCCCGGCTCGACCAGCAGCGCCCAGGAGCAGAGCAGCAGGCCGGGGGCGGGTGGGGGGGCAGAAAGCACAGGGGCAGAAGAAGATGCAGATGAGGAGTTTGAAGGGGGGAGGGATACAGCAGCAGGAGGAGCAGGAGCAGGAGGAAAAGGGAGATCTGGCAGCGGTGTTGCGGCGGTTTGTGCAGGGAGCTTACAGGGATGCGGGGGAGGAGAAGGTGCCCGGGGAGCCGTCAGCCTTGGATGGCATTGCAGACAAACTGGCTGGGGCGTTTGAGCAGTACCACGCGTTCATGCGGGTGAGATGCTTGTGAGGGGAGGGTGGGAGGGTACTTGTGATGCTTGCGAGGGAGGGTGGGAGGCTACTTGTGATGCTTGCGAGGGAGGGTGGGAGGCTACTTGTGATGCTTGCGAGGGGGGGGTCGGGGCTGCTGGATGGCGCAGGAGCAGTGCCACGCAATCATGCGGATGAGATGCATGTGAGGGGCTGCATTGCGTGGAGAGAGGATGAGGCGCATCGTGAGGTGAGATTCAACCAACCTTGCTCTTCCTCTCCTGCTGTCCACTGCTCCTGCTCTCCACTATCTCGCATCTCATCCATACCAACTTGTGAGGCTGGCTTTTATTGGCGGTCTGATGGCTTTCATTTCATCCGTGTCTTGTGGCCCATTGTTTTCTTGTGCCGTGTTTCCCCCCCACACCCCCCACCTCCCTTCCCTCCTCCCTTGCACCACTCCTGCTCTCAAGTATCTCTCATACTGCCCCGTGTGGCTGGCTTCCCTCTGTGGTCTCGTAGCTGTCACCTTCTACGCCTTATGCTGTGCTTTCCAACCCTTCCCTCCCCCCCGCCCCTTTTCTGCACCCCAGTATCTATCCTACCACCCCGTGTGGCTGGCCTCGCTTGGTGGTCTGGTGGCTGTCACCTTTTATGCGTTAACTCGCTGGATGCTTGGGATGGGGGTCGCTCCCCCCCGCCGCCCGCGCCGTGTTGTTCCCAGGGCTAGGAAGGCTGACTAGAATGGTAGAGGTGGTGAGGAGGCTGTTTCTTTGCAGCTATCTCTTCTCCAAGTGGGCATCTCTCAGAGGCAGGAGGGCGGACCAGAGAATTAGAGGATTGTCTTAGGTTGACGTCTTGCTTTGATTTTCTGCTTCATTTTCCCTCCCCACCCTTCGCAACAAGTTCTTACCAGGGGTAGGTAGGCATGCGACTAGAATGGTAGAGACAAGGCTACATTACTGGAGACTTTGTACCTTCCAGTTCAAACTGCTGTTGCATTTACACGGCGGATGAACAAGTGGGTCACAGTTTAGACGAAAATGTGTCGTAGCAACTTTTCATGGTTGCAGCTGCAGGGAACTAGAATACTGTGCTTCACCCTTCTCTCAAAGGTGATTATGCGTAATGCTAGAACTCCAACAGCTGCTTAGGTCACGTCCTTCGTCGTCAGTAGAAATTCTGGGCAGTGCAGTAGTCTCCAGAGCATGGATAATGATTGTGTAGTCAAAAACAGCATTTCACATGCTAAGTACGCCTTGCAGCAAGCAAGGTGGTTCAACTCGAGCCACCATACGCGTCTATTTACAAACGAAGCCATCTCCCGACAGCCGATGTCAATAGATAGAATCTGTTGTCAGAACCACTTTATCATGCCGTCAATAATTGACCTCAGGTCCCTTTTGGGGGAGCTGGAACTTGGAATCCACCTCAACAGGCGGCTTCAGAATGAGAAACTCCTCCTCGTCATCCGAAGGGAGGCACGGAGCTGCAGCCTCCACGAAATCCGCCTTGCTAGCAAGATGATCAGCCCACCTGCGGAGATGACAAAAGATTCGGTCAGGAACCCCAGCTTCCACAGCCACCGGGAGAAATGCGTGAAACGGTAGATTAATACCCACTAGCAGCCGCTTCGCGCTTACCAGTCGTTTATTCTTTCCCGGAAGGGACTCAACGAGGGGGAGGAGGCAATAGAAGACGTGGGGCCAGCATTGAAAGCGCCGGAGGCCGCGCTTTCAACTGCTTTCGTTGCCATCGAATGCAATTGCTCAATCCTGGTACAACACAACGCCATAAACTGCATGAGACGACGTACGTTCGAAGCAGACTGACGAAGGGAAAATCAGGTACTTTCGAAATACCTTGCAGTGTACTGAGTGAGCGTGGGTGGTGCTCCAGGTGTCCGTCCAACAGGAGGATTTCTGCACAAGCCACCAGTATCTTCGTCATTGACAGCTCTTCTGAAAACTGTAGACAACCGCGAAGAGCTATTAGGTACGATGCTTACGCGTAAGCTGCTCTCGCAGGAGTTCGCCTCGTTTGCAGAGAGGTGAAACTCAGAGTGCTCGACGGGCAAAGAGCGATACGGCTAGCCAAAAGTCCTGCCATACTGAATACTCTTGACTTCTCGAAGCCGAAAGTAAAGCTGGATTGCTGGCGAAGAATCTCACAGGAGTCAGCGACTGAGGAGAAGGTCACCCCAGAAGCCCGAGGGACGGCTGAAGTTCTCAGACAATCGGTGTTGGTAAAATGGAATGGCAGTGTGCTGCTGACTTATGGAAAGAGAACCGACTACAATGGTGTGGAGCCGAGAATTCCCAGCCAGCTCCTGAAGGATTCCACAGACGAAGTTCAGCTGCTTGCCGAATGCCACAGAGAGAGCAAAGCTGAACGAACCTTGAGTTCAGCACCAGGTGAAGCGGGACCTAGGTTTTGCCGCGCCCGTCGGGCAGCCCAAGCCTGAAACCTTTCGCAGCAGGCGCGTCACCATCAAGGCGGTTCGGCAGAGGCGCGTCACCTTTGGGAGTTGATGCGCAGCCAGAAAATGGCAGCAAACCACAGAAACCAGGCCCGAGAGGAACCCTTGGTGTTTCAAAGGTTGCCGTTTCATTGAACCAGGGTAAGCGTGCCAGCCAACTTGGCAGAATCTGTCATCCAGCGCGTCGACGCTTAGGGAACTGAACCTTCTGTGTGCTCCTGCTTGTTTAAACAAGGCTTCTGAGTACACCAACCCTAAAAACTTGCTGCGTTGGCAAATAAACCAAGGCTAAGCATACATACTTGGCAGCAAGTGAACATTTTCTGGGCTAATGCTTCCATTCTTTACCTGAGATAGAATCGATAGGGTGCTTTCAGAGAAGTGTATGAGGGATCTCGACCTAGAAATTGGGATGGATCAATTCGGTCTATAGTAATCCAGGATCATAGACGTGGCATCTGGGCGAACGATAGGTGGACCTTGCCAGTTCAGCACGCAATCACGTGTCACAGATCCCTCATTCGGCAGTCTCCGCTGTGCTGTCCAATGTGCTTCCAACAATATATTAACGGATAAATACCAGGAAACATGTCGATTACAACCTATATTCAGCAAGCATGATGTAAAATCATCACACGTGCAAAGCCTGTAAAAAATCTACCAAAAGTGCATGTGTGAGAGAAGGCTGTAAGGTCACGGAAAATGTGGTACTATTGCTATAGAACGTGTATGGGCCCAGCATTGCCGACCTTCGTGAGAGTTGTTTTCTGCACCTCTAGAGCATGTATGGAGGACGTTGTTACCAGCGCAGTACATACGAATAGCCAGGCTAGTGCATACACGCCAAAAGGAACGATATGTACAGGAGTATATAGTATATACATGAACGTACAGCAAAATGTACAGCAATGTGTGTTACCTAATATGCATAGCTATTCGCATCTGGCCATCCCAATACCGCCTCTCCTGCTCAAGCCTCCTCTTCTGTTCCTCGTCACGCTTCGCCCTCCACTGTTCAGGTTGTCGTGCCATAATCAATCTCTGCAGCTCTTTGAGTGATCTGGGCTGCCCAAACACGCCCTGCTGGCGGCACAAAGGGCATGTGATGTGGGGCGAAGCGGTGTCAAGGCCGAAGAAGACTGGGATGTGGGCCACAGAGCAAGCACAACCGAGGCAGAAGATGTGAGCGCAGGCAAGAGACACCGGATCAAATGGCACTTCCTGATGGTTGAATGGGTGAAGGGAGGACGGAAGGTGAGCTTGGGTTGGGATCAACACATAGGCTGAAGAAGACATGGAAGTTGGCCATGGGGCAAGCACAACCTAGGCAAAGGTGTGAGCAAAGTCGAGATACACAAAGTAACATGGCACCTGCTGATGTGGTGATTGGGAGGAGGAGGAGGACGGCAGAGAGGAAAGGGAAGAGGTGGGGAGTGAGTTGTATTAAATGAACGAAACGTGGATCTGAGTCACGGATTATGCACACCTGGTGCAAGGAGTCAAATGAAGCTGTGAGTATGGGGAATGAGCACGAGTGGAGGAAACAAAAGTATTGG